TGGCTCACGGGCCCAGCCGCGGCATGTGGGATCCTCCCAGACCGGGGCACGAACCCGTGTCCCCTGCATTGGCAGGCGGACTCTCAACCACTGCACCATCAGGGAAGCCCTGCAAGGATGTTTTTAACTGGTAGGAAGCTGAAGTCTTTGGGGGGTTCTTTCTGTTCTATCTTGGTTCCTTTTTCCTCATTCTCCAGAATCTTCAAGGCAACATGATAGAGTAAAATCAATATGGGGTCAGCAATCAGAACTAGATTTGACATATGATTCTGAAGCTTATCAGCTGAATTACTTTGGGCTACTTATTTGACTTTCTAACCTTCAGCTTCCATAAAATGGGGCTATCTATCTATATCTATCTATCTATCTATCTATCTATCTATCTATCTATCTATCTATCTATCTATCTGCCTTAGGTTAGTCCTGTTCTTCACAACCTCCTACTCATTAGATTCACCTATGGAACTTTTCAAATATAGTTGATTCCTTGGCTCTAGTTCAAAAGACTGATTCAGTTCAGCTGGGTTCAGCCCAAGTATCAGTCTGTTTTAGGACTTCCCCAGTAATTCTGTGTGCAATGAGAGTTAAGAATGGCTGAGATCCTATTATTAAGCCTCTCTAAGCCTCAGTTGGCTCACATGCTCAGAAACTGGAAGTCCCTAGACCTCAAGAGCTCATACAAAAGCAAAATGAATCTCTTTTGCTAACAGCCACTTTGTGACTGCAATCCTTCACCTGTTCAGACTAGCAGGCAGTGCAGTCTCTCCCACACCCACACCTTGTCTTCAGAGATCTTTCCTGGGAAGCCCAAGAACTCCTGTTGTTGCTCTGCAGGTGAGAAGAACTAAACCTGGGATGCCTGGCCCTTGCTGAAGCTGGGCAGTCCCTGTGGTCAGGAGAAATGTCAGCTCTTGCCGCGGTTCCGCAGAGAACAGCGGACAATGCTTCTTCTCCTGGGTTACCCTTGGTCAAGGATACTCTTCTCTCCAATTGACCTGGGTTGCCAGGGATGTGGCCCATCAGAGGTCAGCTCTTTCATTTCACACAGAAGCAACCGTATTCCCTAAGGCCCAGCCCATCATCCAGAGAGCAGTATCGTGAGCTAAAGCACTCACTGCCCAGAACCAGCTGCTTCAACAGACTTTGCCTGGGTTGCCCAGTCCACACTCCTCCCTCTTGATGAATTTCCTCTTGGAGATCCTTCTTTTTCTTCCCATCGTCTGGCCTCAAGTAGGCCCACCCTTGTCAGATGTGTTCTAAAGAATATAATAAGTAGATAAATAACCAAACTATTTTCTCGCAGAAGGCTCCTTGACCCACCATGTAGTTTCACATATGTAAACTGATGTATGAGAGAGGATTCATTCTGAATTTACATATCAGCCTCTTCTAAACCTAAGCCCTTTCCAAGCCCCATCTCCACCGAAGAAGTCCCTTTCCCAAAATCAATGGGTAGGAATGCACTTACTTTGCACACCTGTAACTCAAAGGGACTGCTGAAATGATTGTTTCCAAGATAAAAGACAACTTGCCCCAAAAGTAAGTTCAGGTTTTTACCCTGAGCACAGAAATCACATAAAATAGCCAAGATGGCAGTGTTCTTAGTTTCAATTAATTCTAGGATTTAAACTCCTCTGGGCAGCCCATTATATGTAAAGGGGGTTGATTTGAATGGCAACCTCACAGGGTGGCTGAGAATAAGTGAGAAAAGATGCAGAAAGAGCAATCTGTAATGTCTTATTGTCACTGTTACTAATCATTAATGCTCATCGGCATCTAATCAGAGTTGTCCCTTTGAAAAGTGGGTACCTCAGGACCAAGTTATCTCCCCTCCTCTTCCTGCCTCTGTACGGTAGTCAGTATAGGGATCCAGACCCCTGACCAATACAACTCAGTGGTCCCAGGTTTTTACCCTATCACCAGTAAGGGTAGTCACGTTAATTAGAGTAATGGAACCTCTTCACTTAAATGCAGAGCTGTGGGCCCAAGTATTACTTGCTGTCTTTCCCTCCTGCTCTGGTTATAACAATTCAAGAAAGCAACTTTTGGTCAGATGGTTTGAGTTGGTTCTGGAACTTTGGTTCTCCTCTGTATAGACCCAAATGTCTTCAAGGGGTTAGGAGTAAAATTGGGGAAGGCCTGGTTTGAGCCATGTTCTCCAACATGGTAAACCCAAAGCCCTAAATATTGAAGCTATTGGTACTTGCCTGGCCTTTTAGGAAAGTGCAGTGCTGGATCTTGATTCTCATGTGGTTCCTTGGGTCTGCTGTCTATTTCTCAGGAATCTGGAAGGGAGGAGCTTATAATAAGGACCCCTAAACCTACAACAGTTCTGCTGGTTGAAGGGCTAAACACTTCTACCCTGGGGTGTTAGTGACCACTGACATTTTAAGAAATGCATGCATGTCTCTCAAAGGAAGATCAATTTGGGGGTCTTCCTGCAGTTGTTAACTACGGAACATGTGGGTTTGATTACTTAAGGTGCCGGCTTGTCTCTCTTATGGGTGACCATGAGACATATTCTGGAGGTAGTGCTGACTTGGCTCAGTGGTTGAGTGGATGAAGCAGGAAGGGAGAGGGCAGTATTCAGGTGGATAAGTTTCCTCTAGAGCAAGCATTGGCCAACTATACCAGCAGGTCAAATCTAGCCTGCTGCCAATTTTTGTTTTTTACCTTTTTATTTTGAAATAAGTTAAGACTCATTTGCCACCTATTTTGTAAATAAAGTTTTAATGGAACATTACTACACTTATTTGTTTACAGATTGCCTATGGCTGCTTTCCTGATACAATAGCAGAATTGAGTAATTGCAACGAACAACAGCGTATGACGTGCAAGGCCTATAAGTTTGTGCCATCTGGCTGTTTGCAGAAAAACTTTGATGATCTTTGTGCTAGAGTCAAAGATGCTTCTCACATATGCTTCCCAAAACTGCCTCAGATTTCCCCCTTGCTGCAGCCCAAAGGCCACAGACCCCTGTTGAATCAGAAAACTCTGGAGTTGGAAGGAGGTATTAGTGGATATCCAGTGAGATTTCCCATCTGAGACCAGAATCTTCCAAGGATGCCTTCTCAAGTGATCCCCTGGAGGTGAAGGCACACCATTGCCTGAAGGGGCCAACCCACCTTTTTTGGGAAGTTCTGGCTGTTGAAAAGTGATTCCTTATATTGAGCTAAAATCTTGTAGAAAGAAAAATTGTTCAAGTTTTATTATTTTATGATGCCATCTCCAGCCTTTGGAGGAGGAAGACTCCATCATCAGCAAGGTGGGCTGTGCTGTCTGTCTTGTGTAGAGTAGCACGATGGGTGGGGAGGAGATGTGCAGAAGCTGGCGTACTCTGCAAGGGAAAAGATGCTGGATGCCTCTAGAGAGAAAGATCCAGAAAAGGGGGGCTGGAGGGGCATGGCTGGACAGGGGTGGGTCAGAGAGGAGCTACAGGTGAGGAAGGAGACAGAAGTATGGAAGCTGAAGCTATCTCAAATTATTCTTCAGTGCTTCTGGAATAGGATTTGAGTTTGTGGCATGCTTCTAGATGCTTCAACTAGTTGAAATGTTCTTCAAGGGAGAAAAAACGGGCCCAAATGGTACAGATGTATTGAGCTGTGTCAGTTTCCCTGAGGCTCTCATTCATCAGTGTTATATTCTCAGTCCAAAGAGCTTTCAGACCAAGCAGCACCATAGCCATAATGGTCCAAATCCCACCTCACTGCCTTTGCTCCTAGTCATAGATTTCCTCTTCTCTCACCTCAAAGGTTGCTTCAAACCAGAAGGCATGGAAGGAGATAGAGGTGGAGGGAGGCCATGTGCCATCTCTCTGGCCCAGGGTTGAAGGTTTTCCAGGTCACAGGACAGTGCACAGATCTCCAGAGGTATGTCAAAGGCCCTGTGTTCAAGATCTATTTCTGCAATAATTTTGTATGCAATATTTTGTCATTAGTTCTCTTTTTGGTGCCTTAGTTTCTTCCTCTGTACAACAAAAGGCTGGAGCTAGGGCAGTGTTCAAATACTGCTGTTGAGTTTTGGGTGTTCTACAAGGGTACTCGGGGGCTTGGGACAGGTTGGGCGGCAATGAGGAAGCTGAGGAGCTGGGTTTCCTGGCCATTTTACTCAACTTTCTTCAAAGCTTCTCTGTGCTATCTATTGGATAGATTGGGGTTCCTCAAAATCCTCTATTACCACTAAATTTCTGCTGCTAAAGAAAAGAAAGGCTAGAATCCGATGAACTTTATCAGTATTTCTCAATGCTGTGGTACTTGTCCCATTAGAGGGACTCAAGCTGGTTTTATGTGATATGTGGATGAACGCTTTTTTTATTGAGATATGCTTGACATAATATTATATTAGTTTCAGGTTTACAACATAATGATTTGATATATGTATATATTTCAAAATGATCACCACAATAAGTCTAGTTAACATTCACCACCACAAATAGTTACAATTTTTCTTGTGGTGAGAACATTTAAGATCTACTCTCTTAGCAACTTTCAAATATACAATACAGTATTATTAACTCTAGTCACCATGCTGTAGATTACAAATCCAAGATTTATTTATTTTATGACTGGAAGTTTGTACCTTTTGACTTCCTTGACCCATTTTTCTCACCCCACCTTACCTCTGGCAACCACTAATCTGTTCTCTGTATGAGCTTGGTGTCTTGTTTTGTTTTGTTTTTAAGATTCCACTTATAAGTGAGATCATATGATATTTGTCTTTGTCTGACTTATTTCACTTAGCATAATGCTCTCAAGGCCCTGCAAATGGCAGGATTTCACCCTTTTTTTCTCTAAATACTATTCCATTGTGTACATATACCACATTTTCTTTATCCATTCATCCATTGAGGGACACTTATGTCGTTTCCATGGCTTGGCCATCCTAAATAATGCTGCAGTGAGCATGGAGGTGCATATATCTTATGAGTTAGTATTTTTGTTTCCTTTGGATAAGTACCCAGAAGTGGAGTTCCTGGATCATATGGTAGTTCCATTTTTAATTTTTTGAGGAATCTCCATACTTTTTTTCCATAGTGGCCGCACCGTTTATATTGCTACCAACAGTGCATGGGAGGTCCATTTCTTCACATCCTTGCCAACGTTTGTTATCTGTTGTCTTTTTGATAATAGCCATCCTGACAGGTGTAAGGTGGTATCTCGTTGTGGTTTTGGATACACATTTAAAATTATCATAGTTCCCATGTTTATTTTAATACCTATAAGGAAAATAGAGCCAGCACATCAAGTGTATGATTTTATTGATCTATAGCTTAGGATGAGGCTAAATGTAGTGGGCTTATTTAAAGAAAGAGGATACGTCAATAATAGTACAGATCATATAGGCATATGGCAAACCTGTTGACATTTGGGAAGACAGGAAAAATGGCTTCTGCAGGCTCTCCTGGCTGTGACATTCTAGCATTCTTCTCCCTCCCAGTCTTTTCTCTTGTTCCCTCTCTCTCCCCAGGAGAGAAGGCATTGCGATGTGCATTTTCAGACTCAAAACAGTGGTCCTGACATGCCTGGGGTCTGGGCTCACTGGTCCTCTTGGTCCTCCACTGCAAAGACTTCTGCTTTGTCAGGGGGCAGCTCTGCTTTCCCACCTCTGGTCTCTGATGAGATATAGGAAACTGGCAGGAAAGCAGACCAAACTGAAAGCAAGAAAAACAGGCAGGGCTATGCAGAGTGTGCGCAGCTGCACTTCACGAGATTAGCCAAGGTGCTCTCTGTTCCATTAGCAGAATACCCAATGGGCTCGTGCTTGAAAAAGCCAATCTGCAGAATTAGCAGCCAGTAAATTGTTAATCTTGCAGACTGTTGATTATGTCTTGCTTCTTTTAAATTATCAGACCTCACTTATATTTATTTACTTCTTGGCATGAAATCATTTTCTATATTCTCTTTTTAACTCACTCCTAATGGTATAATGCATGTCTATTTACTTGTTCTGGATTCTGGATGATGCATCCACAATTGTCTAGTTTCTAATAGACATGCACTGCATGTTCAAGTTAATGAAGCATGGCATGCCATGGCGGACAGACTTTGGACGTTAGAGTCTGGATTTGAACCTGGTTTAGCCACCTCTGACCTGTGAACTAGTGTTACTTAAATAAGCTTGGGTCTTACTTTCTCTGGTTACTCAACAAGAATTATGCTTCTTTCATAGAATTTTTGTGAGGATTTAAGTGGTACCATTAAAAACATAAAAAAAAACACCTGGCTTGAGTATGTTGAGTTTTAGATACTAAGTAAATACCAGTTCTTTTTCCATTTTTTTACAAGCTCGACAGGTCTTTGTGCTAGATGCTGCAGACAAGGCAAAGATGAATGTGATGTAGGTCAGGATAGCAAATAGGTTTTATTTCATATGTCAGCTCTCACAGAGTGTGCCGCTTCAGGGAGAACTGTGTGGAGATGGATTTTAAGGGTCAGCGGGGAAGAGTGTCATAGTTGATTAGCCATGTCCTAGGGCTCAGGAGTGGGCAGTGGGGGACACGAGTGTCCTACATTTGCCATCACTGACACAAGCCCTGCTTTGGGGAAGTCAAAGCTAATGGAGTGTGAAATTCCTGGAGAAGCATAAGGACAGTGGTAGCACTTCTACATATGTTACGTCTGGAATCCTCTCAGCCAACTGGAAAGGGATGAATTGTTATTCTCATTTTATACATGAGGAAATGGAGGCTCAGACAGGATAAGTAATTTTCTCAAGGTCTCACAATGTAGAAAATACTGGCAATGAGATCTGAACCCAAATCTGTCTGACCTCAGAGACGTTTTGTTTGCAGTTACTAACTTTTTAAATTGCGGTTTTCAAATAGAGTCTTTTTTTTTAAATGAGGTGAAATTTGGATATTTTAAGGTTTGTCAAAGTGCACTAATCTTAAGTGTCCAGCTTGACGAACTTTTGATTACACCTGGGTAATTTAGATACACCTGTAAAACCATCAAGCAGACCAAGTTACAGAATTTTCTCACCTTTCTGGAATGTTCCCTGTGTGCTTTCCTAGTCAATAACCTCTCCACCAAAAGACAACCACTATTCTGATACTTATCAACATTGACTAATTTCGACTGTTCTTCAACTTCATATAAGTGAAATTATATAGTAATTCCACATTTGTGTCTTGCTTCTTCAACGAAATGTCTGTGAGATTCATCTATGTTGTGGTATTAGTAGTTTGTCTTTTTTTTTTTTTTAATCACTCTGTACTACTCCACTGTATGAATACACCACGATTTATTTATCCATTCTCTTCTTGGGGGACATTTGAGTTGTTTGCAGTTTTTGGTTGTTATGAATAAAGCTGCTATAAACATTCTTGTAATGCCTTTGGGTGGGCATGTACCCTTATCTCTCCAGAGTCCATACCTAGTAGTGGAATTACTGGGCTATAGGTTAGGAGAATATTTAGCTTTAGTAGATATGAGCCTTTGCCTTTTCCAGTGAGAGTTCTACAATATCAGGGGCTTGAGTCTTTTTGATCTCTATGGCATCCCAGAACCCACAGCAATTCCTGGCTCAGAGTCGGTGCTAATGATCTAGTTTTGAGTAAATGAAAATATATGCATATTGTACATCTTGAGTCTTGGCTTTGTATTGGGGGCTGCCATGTTTCACTGAACAAAGAGGTCATAATCTCTCTCCCTGTGCCCGGAGTTCCCCTTTCAAAACAAGTCTTTTATAATGCCTCCTTAAATATCTCAAAACAAAGTTCACAGATAATACAACCTGTCTACACACATATTTTCTTTTTAATCAATTTGGTGTCCTAACTTTTCTGTGAAGGAAATATAAAAGGAAAGTAATTTCTAGTAAGGTAACGAGTATTTCAATATACAAATGTCTGGGGACTTCTATATTGGAAGACATAAGGAAATACACAGATACTTGCAACAGATACTATACATATGATCAGTACAAATGCAAAGTGAGAGAGGGGCAATGTTCTGCTAACTCCTATCATGAGATGCATTGTTATCAGTGATATGATTTTCCAAATGGTGACCAATGCTTGCTAATATTTTTAATAAAAAAAGCACAATCTTCCCCCAATTGGCTCTGAAAAATTCATTGTATATTAAAACTGTATAAGAATGCTTTATTTTTTATGTAAAATGGTGTTGGGGTCTAGGTTTAGATAAACTTTTCAGCAAGAAGAATGTTTTGTGGGATATACATGGCATGAAACATATTCTTCATTGAACAGGATTATTCCAAGCATTGTATAGGGTGTCTAGCCTTCTTGGTACTCAACCATGAAATGCCTTTGAACATCTTCTCATCATAGTGCCAACTATTCCTTTAAATTTACAAAATATCCTTTGGGATGGTATCACCCCCACGAGAATCATGGTTCTAACTCAACTCTCTCATTTTACTGATGAGGGAAACTCTCCCTTGAAAAAGGAAGAACTTCCTCCCAGATCTCACAGGGACTTAGAGGTTAATCATGGATCACAATCTTCTGACTCTTTAGTCTAAATCAGGACTCCATCCTCCACAGCAGTTGGAGCTGGGGCTTTGAGTCAGATTTGGGTTCAAATCCTGACTCTGATCTTAGGCAAATTGCTTCATTTTTCTGAGCCTCTGTTTCATCATTTGCAAAATTGGAATTAAAAATAACATTTCCCTTAGAGAGTTGTTTTGAGAATTAAGCAGGTTTATGACTATGAATACCTGACACATAGTGAGATCTCAACACAAGGTAGCTATTATATTATACCCACTTTAAAGCACATTTATTTAAGTGCCCACAGAAGTTGGTGTATCCTCTTCTGGGAGAACTTCTCCATTTGAAGTTTTCTCTACAGAGAAGCACTTCTCTTTATCCGTTGTTTCCAAAGCTTCAAACAGTCCCTTTCCAGGGCAAAGTGTCCTTCTAACCTCCTCCCCACCAAAGCTGTCCTAAGTCACAGTCAAGGACAAAATGTCTTGAGCTAGGCAGCTCAGATCACCCTGAAATTAGCCTCTTACTTAAAGGATGGAAGAAGAAATTTGGGGGCTGCAACTGATTTGAAAATAAGGACGAAAGAGGATGAAATTTTGTACCAGATGCATGGTGAATCATCTAGATTTTTCATTCTACCAACACCCTTTGAAGTGGAATTGTTTATTATCACCTCCATTTTACATATGAGAAAATGGGGACTCGGAGCTGTTAAGGCCCTTCATCTAAGTCACACAGAAACAAGACTGAAATCAGGTTTGATGGACATTCTGTTAATGTGAGTTCTTTCAAAATCAGACCCTGAGAAAAGGATTTGGGTGCAAATAGTTTATTTGGGTTTTTTTTGTTATCAATTTATTGCCTCTTAGATCTGATGCACCCTTGAATATGTGGTGTATGAGAAAGGAATTCCTTTAAGTATTTCTTCTTTAACATGAGCATGATGCTAAGCTTTCTCAGTAAAGGATGCTGGAGGGATATTGCTGGAGAAGGAGGGTCTCCTGCCATTTCTGTGCCAGATGAGGCTAAATTATGGGTGTGGGGACATTCTGTGGAACCTGCCCACAAGCCAAAATATGGTCCTGAAGCCGAATCCAGCCTCTGTACCTCGACACTGAATTAAATCTCAGAGACAGAGTTTTGGGTAAAGTAGAAAAAAAATAGCTTTTTTATTTTGCCAGGGAAAGGGGGCCACAGGGGGCTAATGCCCTCAAAACTGTGTGTCCCCTCCCCACCCCGAGGGGGTAGGGAGAAGTTTTATAGTGGTGGTTCAAAGAAGACTTGATCAGCTTGTGGACATTCTTCTTATTGGTTGGTGGTGAGGTAAGTGTGAGTGGCATCAACCTTCTGGTTTCAACCTGTCTGGGGTCTAAGTGCTTGTGGGCAGCATACCGTTAATTTCTCCACCTGGTGGGGGTTTCAGTATCTGCAAAACAGCTCAAAGATATTGCTTTATATCCCTTGAGGGGGAGCCAGGACCCTGCCCCAAGGCTGCACTACTGTTTCTTGACTGCTCCTCCCTTGTCTCCGCATCCCCTCCCTTCCCTAATTAGCATCTGTTTGAACCTGCCTGTTGGAACTCGGGGGAAGGTCATGGAGCTGTGGTGTGGTGATAACCTTCATGCAACCCCCTTGGTATGGAAACCAGAGCCAGGAGCACAGCTTACATGCTCTGAAGGACTCCTATCCCCCCCTGACTCCCAGGCTCCACATCCCCATACTCAGGTGCTGATTGACTGCTCCCCCGTGTGCGCTCTGGAGGGTGGCTTCTTGCTTGCAGCACCTCCAGACCAGCTCTAGCCTAGCCAAAGCAGCAGACTTCTCTACTACACTGTGGACTGAGCCACACCTTCTCCAAAGATGTCTGGATTCCTCCCAACTTTGTCCTTCCGTGGGTGTTCAGCCTAAGCCATAGGGTGCCTTAAAGAGTTTACTTGTATCTTACAGTTACTCTTTATCATAGTTAATGGTTCTTTGTATTACACTTCCTCTGTTTTAAGTTACTGTGTGCTCTGTCTCCTGATTGGATCCAGACTGTCATAGGAAGTGATCACAGGAAGAAGGTGAAAGAGTGGGAAGGGACAAAAGCCAATAAGGAATGTACTAATGAGTGGGTCACTATTGTCAGTACCTGGGACTCAATCACACTGGTGTCCCTTTGAGAGTCTGGGTGCCACACACTTCAGCATTGCCCCAGCAAGAGGCAAGAGGGCTGGATATTTATCTACCAACTCCTGTCCCTCATTGATTGAGGGTTGCTTGGGAATTTTAACTCCCTGGTACTTTTGTCCTGCCCTGCATGCCTGGACTTTCCAGGGCATACTTATGTAGCCAGAAGAAGCCCTCAGGTAGAAACAAATCCTTGATGGTAAAATATCTGTGTGCATGGGAACTTCCTGTGATGCTGCAGGTGACCTCTAGGGTGGACCAAGGGGATGTGGGTCAGCACAAACTATCTACTACAGACATGTTGTAGGATGCTGGGTGGCAGAAGGAAATTGGTCAGCTAGAAGCTGATGAATGGCTCAGATTGATTCAGGGTTAATTTTCTGGAAAAGTCCAGTCGCAGAGGATCAAATGTTTTCCTGACTGGTATAATTTAATTGTATAGTCAGTGTTTGTTATGGGTCATGGGGTTTTTCTTTGACCTTGACAGTCTCACTGGCTTGCTGTCTGTACTAGAAGACACTGTCTTCTAGCCATTTCAAATACAAAAAGCCAAACCTGGTTTCCATCAAGAGTTGGCAGCCCTACCATTTTCAGGAGGTGCCGATGGCTGTGGTATCCAACCAGCAAAAAGGCAGTGGTGTTTGTATTTTCCACTTTGCCCTTTACAAGAACATTTCAGCTGAAGTGGAAGCCTTTTTCCTTCATCTTGGGTGTTTTAATAGAAATCTTGGTGACATTAAGCCCTTTTAATTCTGAGCACTAGCTTCTAAAGTTCAGTGACACAAAGCTCTGTTCTGCCATGGAACACAATGGGTACCAAGGCAAGAGACTGTCATCACCAGGAGTACCAGAATGAAAATACAGCCAGGAGACAAGGTGATTACAAAGAACCATGGACAGTGTTTGTCTGTGGGAAAGAGTGAGCTGAAGGAGGTTATGTTTATATTAAAAAATTTAAATCATTCACATTTTGCAATAATGTAACCAATTTATAGGGTTTTGCAACTGGCAATGTGTTCTTTCCACATTTAAAATATTCTGTGAAGAGAGAGCAAGGAAGCTTACTCTGTCCTGAAATGGAAAGATCTCCAAGACATGGTGTTACATGATAAAAGCAGTATGTAGAACAATATTGAGTAGCTAACTATTGTACGAGAAGGAAGGAAAAAAAATTATATAGTCACGATTGCTTGTATTTACATGAAAATCTAATAAAAATATCTAGGTATGGTTTAGGAGGGCAAAAACAAGGGGTGAGATTTTTTTCAATTTATAACTTTTATATCATTTTGATTTTAAAATCACATCAATGTATTTCCTGTTCAGATAAAGAAATAAATAACCAGGACTTCCCTGGTGGTGCAGTGGTTAAGAATCCGCCTGCCAATGCAGGGAACACGGGTTCGAGCCCTGGTCTGGGAAGACCCCACATGCCGCGGAGCAACTAAGCCCGTGTACCACAACTACTAAGCCTGCGCTCTAGAGCTCGCAAGCCACAACTACTGAGCCTGCGTGCCACAACTACTGAAGCCCACACGCCTAGAGCCTGTGCTCTGCAACAAGAGAAGCCACTGCAATGAGAAGTCCACGCACCTCAACGAAGAGTAGCCCTCACTAGCCTCAACTAGAGAAAGCCCGCGAGCAGCAACGAAGACCCAACGCAGCCAAAAATAAACAATACAAAAATAAATTAAAAAAAAAAAAAGCCCAGTGAAGAACATAATCATTCGAGAGCATGCCTCTGTTATTTGATCATTTTTACAACCTTTGAAGGTAGCTTTGGATGGGAAAATGCATTCCACAAAATCAAATATCTGCACATAGTGATTCCTTTGCAAACATTTAGGGAGTGAGTATTTTTATTTGATCACGGAAGTTTTTTACATCGATGCTGCTATTTACCACACAGGCAGAAGGGGGCAGTGTTTCTCTGTTTTTCTTTGTGCCTTTCCCTATCTCCCCAACCCAATAGGCAAAACCAAGATTTCTCTAATTTAAATCTATGATAAAATGTACCACATTTTCTAGATTCATGTTGTTACTCTCATCCCAAAAATCTTTTGAGGACTTGAAGCTTCCAACAGGCTGCTTAATGATTATTCAAAAGGGGCTGATTTTTGGGTTTGCTCTTGTGAAGTCTTTCTTCTCTCTTCTCTCTCTCCCTTTTTGTCATTCCACTCAGCTCCCATACATCACTTTCCATGATCAAGTCAAAGAAAAAGACCCTTAAATTATGAAAATTCACAGCTCTCTCTCATTCTCTCTCTCTTTTACTTTTGCAGATGAGACTCAGGATTTGGGAGGCAAAACAAACAAACAAATAAAAAGGAGAATTTTGGACCTCCGTGAATAGTGCTAATGTGGAAAAAAAAAAAAGCTAAAAGGGAAAGAGAATAAGCTTTGGCTGAGTGTTTATCTGTGTGCCTGGCTGGCACCGCACCTGCCATAACTCCTTTTACATCTTCACTACAACAAGGATGTGTCATTAGAGCCATTTTGAGAAGGAGGAGATGAAAGCTCGTAGGCAATGAACAACTCGCCTAAATTTATGTTGCTGCAAATAGATAGAATTGGAATTGGGAGGCAGATTGCATCCAAAGCTGGACCATTTACGTGTTTTTTCCCTACACCATCCTAAAGAAATGGAAGGCAGTGCCTCCCTTTCGACTCTCTCTCTTGTCCCCCATCCTCCCCTGGTCTCTGTACCTGCTCTAACACAAGTGTGCACCAGCCTCTTCCTACGCCACATGGTGTCTGTAAAAAGAGAAAACGGAGACAAGGCAGCAGCCTCAAGAGCTCCCCAATGTTCAGTGGAAGCTGGTCTTTGTTATACTCAGGCAGAGATTCCTTTAGAAAAGGCAGCAACATTGAACTGCCCAAGGTCAGACATTCCTCAAGCTGTGGACTTGGGGAAGTGCCAGGGGAGGCACTGCACTGTTTCCAAATTTTGTGCTTGTGTATTTGTGTGTGTGAGTGTGTGTGTGTGTGTCTGTGTCTGTGTTTCTGAGTGTTCTTGTTTTCTCATTCCAGCTTCCTGGCAATGCCTGCAGATGAAGGTGACAGTGAATATGCAGAAATAGACAATTTGGAGTGTTGGATGGACTAATTTTAATAGTGAACAAAGAACAGTGTTGAAGACATTTTACCCAAAGTGAAGGTCTTGGGAGTGATCTTGGGTGGTGTCCATCCTCTGTATTGAATAACACCAACTCCCCTGGAGAGAGAGCTGTGGCCCTTGCCAATGCTGAGTAAGACAAGGAGAAAGTCTCCTTGGAGGCCAGCAGGACTTTCGCATGCTTTAACACTTGCTGTGCTGCCATTTCAACAGAGAGGACCAAGCAGCAGACTGGGGTCTTTGGGTGGACAATAGCACGTAGCTAGAATTTTTTTAGGTTGTTTTCCTTTAGTTATAATTCTATTTATGGCAAATGACTATGATTTTCTGCTCATGGTAGTGAAAAGTATCCTTTTCAACACATGCATTTTGATAAAAAGGTTAACCTAAAAATAGTTGAGCAAATAATAGGGTAGGTGGTATATACATGTAGCAAAAGTGATGAAATGGCTCCAAAATTAAATATGGAGTTGTTGTAGCAGATTATTTCTAAAGTGTCTTCCATCTCAGACAACTTGTGACTTTAACTCCATCATTTGAGAATCATGGGAAAATTAGAATTGTGCAATTTCAGAGCAGAAAGGGATAATCTAGCCCAACCTTCTTGCTTTATAGTTAATGAAAAGGAGGCTTAGAGGGGCATGGCTGGCCCAAGGTCACACAGTGTCCTGCTGGCTGATAATCTGTGTGGGGAGTGTGTACTGACTGCGGAGACAGAGTGAGGATAGCAGGGCAGGATGATAGTCTAGACAAAGGGCTGCTTGAAGTAATTCAGGTCGTCTTGGCACCAGGGAGGGAAAGAGGGAAGAGGAGGGGGAGACAATCTTTGAACAAAACGAAAACTCCTAGATAAAGTGGGGAAGAATCCTTAAAATCTCAGTTCCTTCTGCTTACTGCAGCAGCAGTGACAGGAGCTGACTGGTTTCCCCCCAATAAACGCAGCAGTAGCTCTTTGCCGCGGAATGTGGCGTTAAATGCAGTAGGTCAGCACTAAGCTTGAACAAAATGTGATGACTGATTAGGAAATGAATGGTAAGTCATGGACGGCAAGTCCTGATCATGGAGATCTTATCAACACCCTCCCCCGACTTCACCCCGTCCGAGCCAACAAAGCTGCACTTGCAGACTGACGAAACCGAACCCAGATGTCCTTGTTGCTCTGGGGACACTTCAATTCTGGCTGTGACAGTCATCTGTGAGGAAATCAGATGTCGCAGGGAGAAGACTCAGCCGAGCTGCAGGCACTCAGGATCTGCTGGGGGGTGGTGAGGTGGGGGAGTCGTGGTCCCCTGCCTCCTCTTCACTGTGAGTCTTGCTTTCCTCTGGGGGTACTGAGATCATAACGGTGAGATGTAGTCAAGGATTAAAGACAGCTCCCCCTTGTGGATGGGGCTGGGGAGCCCACGGCATGGTTCAGGGCAGGAATTTAGCATATGTTCTTGGATTGAATGACCAGAAGGCCGGGTAAATCAATCAACAGGCTTTGCATGGTGTTTGGCATTGAGCCAGATCGCTGCTCACTCACATTCCGGTGTGAACAAATCGCTCAGTTTTTTTCTCTGTCACTATTTATTTCATGACTAATATTTCGATAAGAAAACTCTGTCCTACAAGTATGTGGTTGGGATATGATGGGTGAGTCTAATGAAAGTAGTGGTTGCCTTTTCACTCATTAAATTATTTATTCATTAAGCACTTAGTGGGGAGATAACCTAGGCCCCTCCTTATAGATTAAGATCTAGTTAGGAAGTCAGATAACAACTTTGTAAATAAGAAGATTACCAAAATAATGTTTTCTAGAATATCAAATATGCTAGGATCAAAAGGTGCTTAGATTAAAAAGTAATGGTAATAAAATTGATAATGTATTAAATACATTAAATACTTACTACGTGCCACCCCTGTTGTAAACAATTACCTGTATGATACATTTAATCCTTACCATTGTACTAAAAGAGATATAATGATTATCTTTCAATTTATTAAGGGAAGCTGAGGCAAAGAGTTGGATAGTAATGGGAAGAGGTGGGATATTTTAGACAGCAGACTTCATTGGAGTAAGTCAGACAGAGAAAGACAAATATCATATGATATCATTTATATACGGAATCTAAAAAAAAATGATACAAATGAATTTATTTACAAAACAGAAACAGACTCACAGACTTAGAGAACGAACTTATGGTTTCCAGGGGAGAAAGGTGGGCAGAGGGATAGACTGGGAGTTTGGGATTGACATGTACACATGGCTATATTTAAAATAGATAACTAACAAGGACCTACTGTATAGCACAGGGAGCTCTGCTCAATATTCTGTAATAACCTAAACAGGGAAGGAACTTGCAAAAGAATAGATGCAGTACACGTGTATGTATAACTGAATCACTTTGTTGTACACCTGAAACTAACACAACATTGTTTATCAACTATACTCCAATATGAAATAAAAATTAAAAAAAAAAAAGAACTCTTTGGGAAGTGACATTTAAACAAAGGCCAGGAGTGTACATTGCCTATGTATCTTTAAAATCTATGATTCCCTTTCTACTCATTCCCACCCAGCCCCACCCCACAGCTGTTTGGTAAAGCCTACCACATCACTCAAGTAGTCCTTGCAACTACATTCTGTCTAGACTGACCCTCCTTGCAGCCAGAGTGGTGTGACAGCAAGTGGAGGGGACAGACGGATGGACTAAACACATTTGACCCTCTTATTGGTCTGTTGATCTGTCTAGGGTGTGGCTTATTGGTGTCCTCTGAATTTGAGAATATAAGGCTTAGATCTCTGAAGTAACATAGCAGGGAGTAACAGCTTGCCACTGTGCACTTACTCATGGGGAGGCTGGGTGTATTTCTCCTCTTCCCTTAAACATTGAGTCATGGCCATTTACTGTAGGAATGGGGGTAGAAAATAACCCAGTGGTGGGGGGCAGGGCAGTAATCAGAATAAAATTATCCACATGCATAGTACAATAACTTCTACAGCCTTTCATTGCAAGATTCTACCTGGGTCTCCCAACAACCTTGTGGAACAGAGATTGTCATGCATTTTTGGGTGATCAGAGAAAATGAAGGCTGATATACATCAGAACTTTAGCCAAGGTCATGCAGCTGGTGGGGGACAGAACTAGTGCTTGAACTTTCTGATAAATGAAAAATCTGTTTAATCCATCTGACTATAGGCTATAGGGATAATGCTTTGCTTAGAAATAACCATTTATTGTTATGAATGCCTACCTTGTGCTGGATTCTGAACTGAGAGCATTGTGTACATTAACTCCTTGAATCCTGTTGCACACTGCTCGGAGAGCAGTTGGCACAGTGCCTGGCACATGGTAAGAACTCAGTTAATGTTAACTTATATGGTTGTATTCTTGAATAAAGGGAAACTGAGGCCCAGAAAGATTAGGTAATTTGTCCCAAGCCATCTGTCAGTAAACAATGGGGCTGCAGTTTGAATGCAGGCCTTGTGGTCATGGGGTTTATCTCTCATCCATGATGCAGGCTGCCTACCTGCTTCACGGTTGGATCCCCAGTGCCTCAATGTGTGTTGTGGGCGGTGCAAACTGAATTTTAGGCTTCTGCAGCTTGTCTCTGGCAACATTTACAGTTTATTCCATTTTTCATTTGAATTACCATTCAAAGCCATTTCAGCTTTGGGCCTTCAGCTCTGCAGAGATGAGTGAGGCTGTGGCCCCCTCTGTGGTTCCCCTCTAGAACCCATTTACCCCTCTCTTCACTCAGTAGAGGCTGAGAATTCGAGGTAGTGGAGGAGGAGTTTTTTTCCTCATTGTGCCTGAGGGATGCATATTTCTTTGGAGGGGTTGGTAGAATCTCATCCCTATGAATGCAGTTGGATTTGGAATTCAAGTTGTAAGGGTTTCCTGTTTCGTATTTTGCCAAATTTTCAAACATAAAGCTATTTCCTAAGTAGACAACGTCTTGGAACTCCCCAATCTCTCTGCTCCAGGCTGCAGCTTTACATTCACTTTGCTTAATTCCAGAAATAATTTATCTGTGGGGCCCTGGGCTCAGTGACACAGAGAAGACAAATTGAGAGGGATTTCAGGTTCTGTTTCCATGTTGCTGGGATGTGGCAGAGAAAGGACAGATGATTCTCAGTGGAACCTTTCATCCAGGAGGTAGAATTTTAGCCAAGCTTTGAAAGACATTTGGATTTTGATAGGTGGAGGAGAAAGGCAAATGCAGCAAAGCCTACATCTGATAAGGGGTTAATATCCAAAATATATAAGGAACTCAATAATTCAATAGCAGAAAAGCAAATGACCTGATTAATAAATGGATGAAGGATCTGAATAGACATTTCTCCAAAGACGACGTGTACGAATGGCTAACATGTACATGAAAAGGTGCTCAGCATCACTAGTCATCAGGGAAATGCAAATCAAAACCACAGTGAGGTATCACCTCACACCTGTTACAATGACTATTATCAAAAAGACAAGAGATAACAAGTGCTGGTGAGGATGTGGAGAAAAGGGAACCCTAATGCAATGCTGGTGGGGATGCATATTGGTGGAGCCACTATGGAAAACAGTATGGAGGTTTCTCAAAAAATTAAACATAGAACTACCATATATAATCCAACAATCTCATTTCCAGGTATTTATACTCAAAGAAAATGAAATCAGGATCTTGAGGAAATAGCTGCCCCTCCATGTTCATCGTGACATTATTTACAATAGCCAAGATATGGAAGCAATCTAAGTGTCTGTTGATGGATGAACGGATAAAGAAAATGTGGTACATACATACAATGGAATATTATCCAGCCTTAAAAAAGAAGGAAATCTTGCCATTAGTGATAATATGGATGAACCTGGCGGGCATTATGCTAAGTGACTTAAGCCAGTCACAGAAAGACATACCACTTGATCTCACTGATATGTGGAGTCTAAAATTGTAAAATTTATAGAGGCAGAGAGTAGAATGGTTTGTTGCCAGGGGCTAGGGTATGGGGGAAAGAGGGAGATGTTGCTCAAAGGGTATAAAGTTTCAGTAACACAGGATGAATAAATTCTGGAAACCTAATGTACAGTATGGTGACTATAGTTAATGATACTGTTTTGTATACATGAAATTTGCTAAGAGAATAGATCTTAAGTATTCTCACCACACACTAAAAAGTGGTAACTCTGTGAGGTTAATTAGCTTGATTGTGATAATCATTTCACAAAGTATACATATGTAAAAACATCATGTTACACACTTTAAATATATACAATTTTTGTTAATTTTACCTCAATAAAGCTGGAAGGAAAAAAAGCCCCAAAATACCTTAGACTGAGTGGCTTAAACAAAAGAAATTAATTTTCTTACTGTTCTGGAGGCTGGATATTCAAGATCAAGGTGTGGTCCGGTTTGGTCCTGGTTTGCAGATGCCTGTCTTCTCTCTGTGTTTTCATGTGGTCTTTTCTCTGTGTGCTTGCATCCTGGTGTCTCTCTGTGCCTCCAAATTTC